TAATACCCCATCATATCGGTTCATAGCCATCACAATATCACCCTTCTATCACCTAGGCCGATTATTTGAAGATACAGTGAAGATATTTTTGATTTCAACCTGTGTAATGAGCTAGCTTGTATAGAAGCTTTTTTTGTCTATAGAAAAAATTGTTAGATTTAAAAGATCATGTAAATTTTCATATGACTTATTTATAAATTTCATATAATTTTTTTCGTATGACTTATTTTTAAATTTCATATAATTTATTTTTCATATAACTTAATAAATCTAACCAATAATCAATATAGTTCTTGGCTTTGGGGGCTCTTAGAATATATTCCAGATATGCTAATAAATCTAACAAAATTGATATAGTTTCTAGCTTTTGAAAGTTCTTAAAATGTATTTCTGATATATTAATTTTCATATAACTTAATTAAATCTTACCAAAAAACAATATAGTTCTTGGCTTTTGAAAGCTTTTAGAATGTGTTTTTAATAAGCAAAAAAATCACTATAGTTTCTGGCTTTTAGAAGCATTACAGAGACTTAAATATAATATAGTTCTTAGCCTTTGAAAGCTCTTAGAATGTATTCCTAATATGCAAAAAAATGATATAACTCTTGGTTTTTAGAAGCACCCAAAGGCCCAAATATGATATAACTATCCCAAAACCTCATTATGGCATTGTGTAATTTAGAGGATATTCTTACTTGGGACTTCCTAAATGAGTTTTTGGTTATTCTGGTCTTCTATATTTATTTTTGTACTAGAGCTTCTATTCTAGATATAGATTTTTAAATTCAACCAATTATTAATAGCTATTAACTCAGTAAAATTTTGACTTTTATATATAAAACTATTTTGGATTAATAAAAAATTAATAAAATTAATTTTGCCAAAAATAAGCTACCCAAAATTTTTATGTAATTTTTTGCCCAAAAGTGGTAGCTTATTTTTGGAAATATACACTATTATTAAAATTTTATAATTATATCTTTTTTATATAAAACAGTGTGATTATAAAGAATAATTGTATATATTTAAGATATATCTATTTTTATATTATATTATTTATTAATAATATATCTGTATTAAATTTGGCAACTTTATTAGTTTTATTATTAATAATAATAGTTATAACAAAATCTATTATGTAATGAAATTTTTAATATATATATCATGCTAAAAGAATATTAGAAGTATATTCTTATCTTAAGATTAAAGAACGGCTTTGTTATTTATATTGTTGTAAAATTATAATAGAAATTACGCCTTCGGGCCATCTGTATCGGGAATCTCTGTTGTAATTTTTAAGTTCCTAGGAAATAAATAATACTAAAAACTACTATATACTTATTTATAATTATACAAACCAAATCAAATCTACCTATACATAACGTGGTTACAGTTTTATATAAAGGTGTAATTCCATAATTATTTCTGTTTTTATTATAGTGTGATTACAGAATAACGCTTATACAATGATAATTTTATAATTCTGATGTTGTAAAAATGTTTATATAACAATAACTTTAGCAATAATCACGAAAATTAATATATATATTACATTTTAATCATCGAGACTATATAAAAAATCAATTCAAACTAGAAAATTAACGTTTTTACTTTTCTCAGATTGACTAAATGTTCCTTTAACATGAAGGACTACATTTCGTCAAATATCGTTTGGCTGTTTTTAGCGATAACTTCCACCAATTTTCCATGTTCTATATGAACAACGCCAGTCGTCCAATCGAATATACGTCTGTATTTGATAATAAAGCGTATAAACAGGTGATATTCATTTGAATTATAAAAACGAAACAAAAAAAAAGAAAATCAACTTACTGCGTTAAGGTTTCAAGAGGTATAAAATTAGAAAAGTCAGCATTTGGCATAGCTTTACGGTTGGACAATGTATCAATGGTTGAACTTTAAAATTGACAGTGTAAGTATAATATGAATTATAATAATTATGTTTGATATATAAAATACGTACGGCAAACATGCTACAACTCTAGCTCTCTCTGGTAATCCGCTACCTTTGGCAGATAGACTCTTCACAAGTTGGTGAACACCAGCCTTTGCAACTCCGTAACCAATGAAACCTACGTTACGTGCAAAACAACGTAACGATTGAATAAATGTAAAAGTAGCTAAATCTTGGTTTAAAATTGATTAGTTGGTTACCAGGTGTGCCTCGTAATCCTGCAGCACCCGTCAGCATCAGGAAACCGTCTCTATTCGAAATAACGTTAGAATGTCAATTGTGTAATATTAGATGAAAGGAAATATAACATCTTACTCTTTCAAATGGTGAGCTGCTAATTGTGACGCGATCAGTGATGAATAAAGAGACTTTCTGATCATCAAGTCAGACTTTTTCAAAAATTCTATTACATTTTTAAAACTTATTTAGATCTAATCTTAATTTTAACACCCGAAAAATCATATACTCTAAACTGACCTTTGTCAGTTAAATTTCCCATTACAAAGCCGCCTGCTACGCATAAAATTGCGTCGTATTTTTCGACAGTAATTTCTTTCAACAGCTCACTGCTTTCTGTTAAAACCTTTTTACCTTGAGTTTCTAAATCATCATCATTAGATACGATGATATTATAGGTAGCTTCAGAATTTTGACGGGTACCAACAGAAGTAACCACCTAAAGAATTATGGTAAATAAATATGATTTAAAGATTCTGGATATTATAGTTAAATATACCCAATTGTGCTTTTTGAAAAGGGAAATTAATGCGGATCCCAATTCTCCAGAGCCACCATAAATTAAAACTCTCAAATTCATCGTTTTAAGTAAAGATGTTATTTGTATTTTTTTAGTAACGGCAACCATTATATAAGTAAATTTTCCACCGCTAAAGTTTCCACGCTCACGTGAAACATAGGCCAATGGGGCATGGCAGAGAACCCATGGCAAACTGTTAATCATTACGGCCAGTGTTGGCAATTTTACCGGCCAAACATATTTTTGGCCGGCCAAAAAATGGCAATTCGGCCAAATTCATATGTTTTTTTGGCCGAAAAGGCAAACAAATTTGGTTTGGCCGGTAGAATTGCCAACACTGATTACGGCGCAGGGATATGTCCAATTACTTTAGCTTGAATTGGATATATCGATATATATTAGTTTTATGTCCAATTTGGCGCATTTGAATAACGACGATAAAGATTACGTAGAAGTATAAAGTGCGTCATTTTTCTTGGCATTACCTGAACGTCATATAGATAACGTATAATATGTCTTCGTTAAAAAGATGTTATCTATATGACGTTATAATAAGAAATGAAAAAAATAGTAAATGACCCTTTATACTTCTAGTCTTTATTCAAGTTACGAAAATGCACTATAATTGAAATAATGAGATTATAATTCTTGCGATTCATTTTTTTTTAATTCGTATATATTCAGAAAAGGCAAATGCCCCTTTTAGTCGAGAGACATGGCATGAGTTGTAAACTCGGAGTAGCATTCAAAACGAAGTCACATGAAATATAATAATTTAACAGTCACATTATTACTGACCAGATCCCGTGCATTTTGACATATATATTTTTATTAGTTACGTCCTACAGCGGTCTTTTCCCCTAGTCAACATCACACAGGATGAAATCTTGGGATTAAATACAGAATCGAATTTTTTATATATATTCTGCATTATGATAAGAAAATAAGCTATTATCAAATTTGGATACAGTATATTTTTATTAATACGTATTTTAAGTTTTTTTTTTTAGTTATACTTATATATTTCTTTATTTTAATACGTATTTTTACGTATTTAAAATTAAAATAGATATTTAAAAATATACCAATATTTAAAAGCTTTGTGGTTTTTTTTTTTTCCTTAAACATAAATTATACGTAATAAAAAAAAAGCTGAGCCTCAATGATGATCAAATTGGAATGTATGTTAATACGTACTGTAATTACAGGATTAATACTGATTTACTCGTGTATTAGCTATAAATTTATTAGCCTTACTGTACATAAATATTTAATAGGTTAATATAAAATGTAATAAATTACGTACGTTTTTATATTTTTTATACGTACATTTTTTATATTACTCAGCAAAAATTGACCCATATAATAAATATGTGATTGACACGTTTTCCATAATTGGACCAGGTTGCGCGTATTCATTAAAACGCGACAGATATAATTTTTTTTATTGTTATGTCATGTAGTAATATTTAATGACCCCAGTACAGTTGCCATCCAACTGGTTTTCTTCGTTTAACCAGAGAATTTGGAACAAATTACATTCATAGTAATTTTGGACCCGGACTGCAACTATAGAGTAGTAGAATTACACCACCTTCTAACTCATCTGTCACTATCAAGCATTAAATAATACATAGCAAAAAACTACAAGAAATTTCCACTAACAAAAACCTATGCGAAAAATACATAACCCGAAAAATTTCGATAATTTTACCCTCTATAGACTCCGTCGCGATTTCTTTTAAAAACGGATTACGCGTAATATAATAAAGTAATACTGCTCAACAAGAAGAAATTGAAGTAAAATCCATTTTAATTCAAAAAAAGTAATCCGTAGTAAAATACTTTTATAATTATTTTCAAATATACACATAGATACTTAACACCTTTCAGGCATATAAATGAAACCCTCAAAAAAACAAACCAATAAATTAAATTATTCATATCTTTGAAACAAAGTAATAACATCTTCTTTAAGACCTCTAACGACTCTTTTCCTAACCTCATCTTCTCTTTGTCGAACAACATTTTCCAACATATCGATTTTTCGTTGGTTATCTTCTAACATTCCAACTGCTTTAACCAATTTTTCTTGAAGTAAATTTATGGTTTCTTTAGGATCGCTTGTAGTAGGAGGTAGAAGAAGTTCAGAATATAGAAATCCATTATTACTGTTATCTTGACTGCCAAGATTATTTTGTGAAGACCATGACCAATTAGAATTTGTTGGAGATTGTGGTCTTTCATGTTTTTGTTGGCCACCTTTTTTCGGAAGTCGAAAACTGTCGAAGCCTGTCGTTACTGATGCATCAAAACTTTGTTTCCGCCTTGAAGTAGCGTTGCCTTTATGAGTTGGGGAAATTGAAGAGGAAGCAGGTAGGACTGATTGGGAAGGAGAAATTTCACCAGATTGTGAAGATATAGGGCCACCACCAACGGAAATACTTCGCCACCGTAGTTGAGTAGCAGGGTTACTAGAAGCACCTGAATTAGATATTACACGAAAATGACTTGTGTCACCACTTGAAGAATTAGGATTATGCCTTATATCGGTTGGTGAAGGATTTGGAGTTGGAATATGACGAGAAGTAATACCATTTTTCGGTCTGCCAAGTTTTGGCCGATTCTCACGAGAAGTAAACTGTGAAAATAATAATGGCTTAATAATAATTTTTAGAAAGAAGAATTTCTTGCTAGTACGATTAATAAAATCTTCACTAGCAAAGTAATTAGATATTTCTAGGATCAATGCCTACCTGTACAGCATTTTTTTTACGAGAAGATTTCGATTTTCCATCATCGTCAGGTTTATTAGAGTCATCAACTTGCATTGTATCTACATCATCTTCCCAAGCATCTCTTTCATCGTCATCGTCAAGTTCATCACTTGCATCGGAATAAGAGGCCTTGAGGCGTTTCTCAGCACGGTCATTTTTCCTGGAAGGATCGGTGTCATCAATGTCCAATTCATCATCATTGTCATCATCATTCGTATGATTATCCCCAACATCGATACTACTACCGGTATTACGACGAGTATATTTTCTTTTTTGCCGTTTACTACTAGCTCTCTTGATTAATTTTAATACTAAATCACTATCATCATCATCAGTTCCGTCAGTAGGATCGGTACCAGTTGGATTTTTTTGCGGATCCTCATAATACTCATTTGGTTTCGATAAAATATAGTCGAAAAAAGCATCAATATGAATGGAACGCATCCATTTCTAAATATAAAAATTTATAACACAAGAATGAATCAGCGCTTATAACCATATGGACGCGCGCGATAAATTTTATTTATAATTTTTTAAAGAATTTGTTGATCATGTGATTTGTGCCACGTATACGATGAATTCTCTTACACCCTATTGCCAAGAGATGGTATAACGTACGCTAGCAGACGGTTTTGGGATTTATATTTTTGTGAAGTCAATGATGATGAAAGAAAGAAAAAAAAAATTTAACTTACTTTTAGTCTTACAGCGTATTGTTGAATTTTTTGGGGACTTGATCCGCTAGTACGCTCAACGCCAAGCTGCTGAGCTAATTTAGTCCAAGTTTTTATTTCACCTGAATGATGTTTAGAAACAAGTTGAAAAAGTACCCAAGTTTCAAAGGTTTTACCATCAGATTTAGGCACAGCATTAAAAGAACGAATGAGCGATGACACGTCCAAGTCAGATGGAGCGGAAGGATTACAATATAAAATGAATTCAACATAACGATCTGCAATATTCGTCTGAGTCACGTCTCTTTGTGGTAAATGGCGACGAGAAATATTAGCCGATTGGGCGGATGAGGCAGAAAAGGTAGGAACGGAGGAGCTCGATACATTTATAGGAGCAGCGGTGGTAGAATCTATTTTATCCGTAGATGAATTAGACGAATTTTCAGCGGTACTACCTGCTTTAGAAGCACCTCTTGTTTTTCTAGCGGTTCTCTGAGAATTAGATTGCTTTGGTGCTTTCGGAGAAGTTTGTTGAGAAGTAGAGACGGTAGGGTTTGCGACATCGTTTGAAGATGTTGTAACGGATGTAGATGAAGTGTTAGCAACATTTGCGGTACCATCAGAATCTGATTTTACGATCGTATCGGAATCATCACGAATGACACCGTTTGTATCGTCGGTGATATCAGGATTGTTTACGTGGTTCTCTTTTGACATATTTTATTTAAAGTTGAAATTTGAAACGGATCCGAAGGAATTGCTTAAACTCTAGTATGACATGAACGAACGATAATGGATAAATAAAAAATAATTGATAATTTTTACAAAATGAATAAAGTGGACATATTGTAAAGAGTATATTTAACACATTTGATAAAATGAGATCATCAAATATATATATACATTTATAATATAAATACCTGTTTTGATTGTAAATCACTTCATCCTCCATCCATTATCCCAGTAAGCATCAAGGATTTTTCTTTGGTATTCCGACCTATCGCCAGCGTGAAACTT